TTTCTTTTATGTATGAGTGTTTTGTCTGTGTATGAGTCATCACATGCAAAGTTGGTGCCCTCAGAGCTCAGAAGAGGACACCAGATCCCCTAGAACAGGAGTTATGGGTGATTGTGAACCACAATGTGGCTGCTGGAAATTGAACTGGGATTTCTGCAAGAGCAACAGATGCTCCTTCTTTCAGTATTTGTAAAGGGCAGATAAATGGATGCAGGTTCCTCAAAATCATCTATCCCCTAGGACCAAAACCATCTGAGGGTTAGTGTTAGCCGTGAGATATGGGGCAGCATCTGCTTTAGAGGGAAAGAATTTGCTGATTGCTTTGTCTACTGTAGAACTCATATTATCTTTGCAGAGTGCAAAGTCATCCTAGCATTTTATATTTAAAGTTTAAATTTATGCTGTCCAATAGCAGTTCCACTAATTCACCTAAAATGAACTTTAACCTGTTGTGCAAGGATTATTGTGATTTGCTTTATTATAGCTGAAAGTGAGCTGGCATTTATGGAGAAGTGTATTTGAGAAATCGGTTTCACATTGCTTATTCTTTGATAGTTAGACAGGAGCAGAAGAACATGCTGTCCTAGGCAGAGTGCCTGGTTCCTCAGGCATGTATTGAGTGGAATTATGTTGCATTAGCACATAGTCTTTTGTTTGCTCAGACATTCTTGTTTTATTTCCTTCCTTCCAATCTATCCAGTATCATGGAACATTCCTGATCACTTTGCATTTCCTAACAGAGACCCACACTAGAATGAAAACTCAAGACAATGCCATTGCAAAACTATAAGTAGAAGCCCACCAGGATGAAGAGTTTACTGATAAAATAAGAAATATCTATATAGTCTGATATCTCTGGTCATTCTTCAAATGGTTCATGACTTAACAAATAAACCTATTGTAAAGTTATTGCCATAGATTAAGGTCTTTGAGATAGAGATTGCTTATGAACCCACATATTAAAAATTAAATATTAAAATCTAATATTTAAGTGTGAAAATAAAAGATATGGAATTCCACTAGATAATAATGGAAGCCAGGGCTGTGTCAAACCACAGGATCATTGTAGTTCTGAATTCCATGGTACCAGTGAATCTGAGTTACTAGCCACTAAGAGCAGTTAGTGTGAATGTGATTGAATGGGTGTTTTTGAAAATCACGAGAGACAATGTGTTCATTTAGCATAGGGCCAAAAATTATGTCAGTCTTGAAATTCAGTATCAAAATAACCTCTGGTGTGAACAAACTCAAAGCAAAGGGAAATGAAGCATTAGTTGGCAGGGCTATGAGTGTTTCAGCCATCATGGAGGTTTAAGCACACATTCTGTTACTTGCTAGCTTTTACTCTGGGTAAGCTATTTGCTGGGTGTCTCCACTTCTTCATCTGGAAAAGATGAAATTGAAAGCACCAACTTCTTGACATTATCTCCAGGATGAAATGCATTGGTTCAGTAAAGAAATCACTGTGACTATGTTCAGATGGTAGATATGGCATTTGTACCTGTTCAGGCAGAAAGGGAGAAAACTGTTTGTGTTCCCTTCCCTTGCATGGACAGAGTGCTCAAAGCCACCGTATTCTTTGGGAAGATACTTGTTGCTGCTTATTGCAAGTAGACAAGGCAAAGGTCATGAAGGAAAGGGAGGACTATGCTTTAGGGCTCAAGAAGCTCCATTCAAGAACCCTGTAGAGACTATCTCTGCTGTCTGACCTCCATGTTGAATCAATTTCAAGAGGTCATGTTGCTATTGGATGTGAGGTGGGTCAATTGGACTTTGCCACTGCTCTGCCTTTCATTGAAAATCATTTGTTTAAGGAGCTGTGCAAGTTGTCTTACAAGTGGAGTTAGAGAAGGACTTTAGCACATTCTATAAATTGGATTCTGTATACTTGTAAATTTTGCTGACAGGCACTCCTGGAGCACAATAAGGTCAAAATAGTCTCACTAAAAATGGCCAGAGATGGAGAAAGGATACCAAGGTAATGTGGACAGAAAAAGCTTGTTAAATTTAATCCGAGACCAGAATTAAGTATCAATCAATCTTTTAAAACTATGTGTTCTTATCATTTTTACTTATGTTTATTTGCATCTTCCAAAAGGATCGGATCACCCCCAGGCTGGAGTTATAGAGGTTTATGGACAGTCTGACAGTGATGCTAGGAAGTAGACTCTTGCCTGAGGAAGAGCAGCAAGTACTCATAATGCTGAGTCCTTTCTCCAGCCCCTAATCAACCAAAATTGGTATAAGTGATCAAAAATTATTAAAATGCAGAGTCGTAGGGTTCCAAAGATACAGTTATGAAGAACTTGCATATTGTAAATATAAGGAAATTATTAAAAATACAGTTCACGATTTTAAATACTTTGGAGCTTTAGAGGCCAAATATGTATATAATGAACGGAATGAAATGAAACAGACCATAAATACCATAAATAGGAACAAAGTTTAGCCTAAAAGTGTACTAGTGAACTGAACCAATATATCAAAATTTAACTCATTCATTACTCTGCATTCTTAGATGGAGCCCTCTCCACAGGGAATGTTAATATTTATAAGCTAATTTCCTATACCATATAGTATAAGCTAATACACTATATGGTATAGGATATAAATGGGCTCCATTTGAGAATGAGATACTCTGAATTAAAACACAGCACAATCGATTTTATATAGGTGGCTTGAAAAAGTACCTGACATCTTCTAACTTTATACCAGAACTCAGTATCATTCTAATTTCCTTCTCCTATCTCATTTGACATACATTTAATCAACAGATTCCTTCTCATGCATATCTTCATAAAATTCCATTCTTTTCATGCCAGACTCCCATCTTAACTCTAGTTGTCATAATTTTACAGAATGCCTAATCCAAATAATCACTTCCCACGAGACATGTCACTCCTGAGAAAGACATTTAAGACCGTAGTAAGATAAATGCTGATTATTTTATTTTATTGCACGTGATCCTCATCTGCGTTCACCCCTGTTTCTCCAACCACTAGCCTGTGGTATGCCTATGTACTCTTACACACTAGTTTTTAGTGTTGAAGCTTGAGACTTCATCCTCAAATCTCACTCCTCCAGTCTTAGTAAGGAAACTAAACTTTTAATTTTCCAACACTTTGTATGGATACTATATCCTTTGGTAGATATTCATCAAGGACACCAGACTCACCAATCCTCATAACATCCCTCAAGAAAATTGTAGCCACAGTACACCTCTTTACCCTGTATTAGCACACCATCATATATGTAGCTGTCAGTTATCTCCATAGGACTGAAAACCACCAGACAAGGGTGGAGCCTTTTACCTTTAAAGTTTCAGTCTTAATGTTAGTCTACTATGGAGAAGCTGGGCAAAAAATACTTCCAGTAGCAATGCTGTCAGATTTTGTAAGAAATGGAACAAACCATGCTTTGTGGAGTAGAGATTGCATTTTTTGTAGTAGCAGAGTGGCTTTGGAAATGTCTCAGTTATGTAAGTTTGGGATACTTGGAGATGTAGCACCCTTACTTACAATATGCCTTCTTTAATATACAAACAGTTGCCAAACTAAGCTTTATCTTTTGTGGCCAAGAAAATTAATGCAGAATCCCTGGGCTTAGTGAAGATTGTTAATTATATCAATTAATATATTTGAAGAAAGATCTTCCTCTTATATTTTAGAAGAAGAAGATGTTCTTTGATGAAGGCCTGTCCTGATCTTGCAGGACAATGTGAAATTTAAAATTGGGCCCTTAGGTGACTCCCAGGGCTGCATACCAATTCTACAACGTATTTCATAGACATATTGGTATATATATTTCGTGATGTGTATTCAGTATCTCCCAACATTATTAGAAAGTATTTAAGTGTAGTTTTGAACTGTTAAAGGAAATATGCGACAATCCAGGACGCCTCACTGTTCATTACTCCCGCCTGTACCTGGCATGTCATGAGACTGATTGCAAAAGTAACAGCTCCTCTGACATCTTTCCAACCCAAATCATGTCTGGTTCGAGCTATCGGTAGAGGCTAATGTCCTAGCTCCTGTAGAAGACTTCGTGCATGTGAATTATTAAAGGCAATTATTATAAGACTTCCTGGAACAATCCATTATCATCTTAACTAGTGCACATTGCTAAGATAATTTAAAATGAAGAGAAAAAGCTTGGACAGACACTAGCCACAGAAACCTGGAACACAGTGCGAAAAAGAAGAAATCTATACTGTTGCAGTCGGCTTTAAGGAAACCGGTGCTTATTATTGTAGAGACAACCAGCAGTTTTAGTATAAACATTCTGATTTGGCAATACACAATGGTTTGTAACCTCACAAATCAACTTTGGGGCTTTAGTGTTTTATATCGTATTTAAAAAAAATCCAAGGAACTCTGCAGAATCCTGTGATAACTATAGATCTTAAACTATGTAAAATTGATGAGCTCACTAGGTATCTAGAGGAAGAACTGTTGGGGGGAAGATCGGAGCCCCTGAGCCCTAGCCAGAGGTGTATCAGACAGAACTGAAGGTGTAGGCAGCAAAGCAAACTTGGAAACAGAGAGAGCTGGCTCGCTTTTGATTCATCTCCCTGCCAAATGCCTAAGGGTTGCTTCCAGCCTTTGAGTGTCTGCACTTCGGGAATTTTCAATCAGTTCTCAGGCAGCAACGCTGGTTGCGGCTGATTTGCTCAAGGCCAAGAAAAATATCTGTTCCTTTCTTTTTTCTCTTTAACATGAGCAACTTTGTTTTCGCAGCAAAACCCACCCATAATTCTCATCTCTGGCTTTTTCTCATCCAGGGCTAGTGAAGGCAGAGCGCTTGGCCAGGAGAAAATTAAGCTGAGTGGTTAGGACCATCCTCTTTAGAACTGTGGTTGTAGCTGCCAAGGAGTAGCCAACAAGCACCAGATTTATGTGCACTTTGAAAGAAGCACCTTTACCATTGGCTTTTTGAGCGGCGCTGTCGCTAGGGAGCGAGCACGAGCACCGCCTCGGGAGCAGCTTGGGTGCTGGTTCCTGGCAGCCAGGAGCAAGGCGCACTCTGTGGCGCGCTCTGGGCGGCTCCGCGCGCTGTCGCCCCTGCGGCCCATGCTGTCCCTGGCTTGGCTAGCGGAGGCGCTGCACAGATACTCGCCTTTGGCCATAGGCTCCTGCTGCTGCTGCCGCCCAGAGGACAGACCAGCCTCTGCCCGCGATTTCCCCTCAGCAGCGGCGCTGCAGAGAGCGGGTGGGCTGCAGAATGCGATGTAGTTTTCCCATCGCCTCGGAGTTGTCTGAGTTGGCAGAGCCTCGCCCGGGTTCCCTGAGCCCTGCTCCCTTCGAGCTCGCTGCTCAGTAGGTTGCTAACCATTGTTGTGCCAGAAAGCCCAGGCTCCTTAGCTTCTGTCCTGGGTCCATCCAGGGGCAGAGTAGGGTTGTCCCCAGCCGAGGCTCACTGTCTTCTCTCTGCTGACCCATCTGTTTCCCCATGGCGTCTCGTCAACAAACCCGAATCCAAGCTTACCTGGAGAAAAACAAGATCGGTCCTCTGTTTGAGGTAAGGAGCCTTGGTGGGGAATGGTCCTGCTCTCTTTGGTGGTGGTGGTGGTGCAGAAATAAAATCAGAATTTCCTTAAGCGAAGGTAGGATGGCTGAGCAAATGAGCGGGAGAGGGAGCACTGTCCCGCTAGGTGTTCTGGAAACTGGCCCAGCTGGCACTTGGCCAGTTACCTGGACACTGACAGGTGAGCTCTGGAGGGCCCAACTTCAGCCTAACAGGACAATTGGAGCCATCTGACTGTCTTGCATCTAGTAGGCAGGGCTTAGACAGGGTGGGACAAGCAATCCGGATGTACATCTTCACACACACACACACACACACACACACGCCCGGTATTCACACTATCTTGCATGTTAAATTTTCTTCATTTAAATATGGGCAGTAGTATAACCTGGAAAGGTGGAAGAGTTGCCCTGCTGGAGAAAAAAATATATATATTAAAGCTAGTCCGTTGGGAAACACATTGGACTGTGGCTGAAACTAGAGCCTTTCGCACCAGCTCTCAGAGGTGGAAAGGAGCAGAGAAGGGTTTTAGGAAAACATGTCTATTTCCTGAGGACACTGTCTTGAGATGTTTTCTTTCGCCTTCAAATAATTAATGACAAAAACACATTGAAGGAAAAAGAGCGAAGCAAGAGGGAAAATCTGACCTAGGGACAGAAAGCAGGCACCACCTAAGTGCTAAGTGTCAGCAGGTTGTCAGAGCACTGGCTAGATGCTGGCGAGTTGTGGAGTGCCAGGTACTCAAATGGCCAAGCTCTCTTGGGAGGGATGCCTGAGGCTCCTTACTCTGCAGTCCACTCTCCTATGACCTCCTTCCCGCACACACCTAAAAAGCAGCTGCCTGTATCTTAGGCTGAAGAGATAGGGAGAAAGAGGAAGAGGATGTGTTAGTGATCTGCGACTGGGGCAGCTTCTTGGAGACTAGAGCCGCAGCAGAGATCTGCAGACAGACAGGAGCGGGGTGGGGATTCATGCCTCTGTTTGAAAGGGCTCATGGGGGGGGGCGCACAAAAAGGTCTTTTTCTCTGGGGAGGACAGGTTTCCAATAACTAAGTTTTTCCAAGTTTTTCTGCCCAACCTTAACTTAATGTGGTAAAATTTCGAAAAGTTGGAGAGTTGTTTCAATGAAAGCTCTGTTAAAGGGGCCACAAATTCTTACGGGTCTCTTAATTTTTAGTTCATTTCAAAATGACAGCAAAGGAAATTTTGCTTCTGCTGAATCCTTACCTAGGCCATCAGCAGCCTGTCTTATTCCTGGTGTAATGATTATAAATTACTCACAGCCTTACATAAGGAAAACACAGAAAGGTAGACACAAACTGTCAAATGGTATATGAATTGCATCAAAATAATAAAATGAATGCATTTCGACTGTACGTGTTGGCTTCATTCCTGGAATATAAAACACAATTAGCCAAGGGAAAAAAAATAAGTGAATTGTTTTTAATACATCCCTTCTCACTTAAATTATTTTTAAACTCCCATCGTTCTTTCCAAGTGACAATAATGGAATTAACTTTCTCCATAATTAGGAAGTAAGCTTGGCTTGATATTTATTAGCAGTCTCCTCCCCTTTAATGCTCAGCAGCTAATTTCTCTCTGAAGAGTTTTAAGTGACAAAGAAAATTACTTCATGAAAGCTTTAGATCTCCTCACCCAAACCAACAAAATTCTATGCTTTGTACTTTACTGGATGCTCATTACATAATCCCCACTAGCTTGGATCGAAGTGATGAGTAGTTAATTTTAAGGATTGATTTGAACTTTCCGTAACTGAAGGGAGAAAAGCAGATAGGAAGTTCTCGTCTGCGCAGAGCGGAGTGGGTGCCGGTACTTGGGCAGTGACCGTGATAGAGCCTGGCTCTGAGAAGAGATTTGGCCAATTTCACCCATTTGGGATCTCAGACCAATTTATGGTCTATTTCTCCTCAAATTACAGTCAATGCAGAAGTCAGATGTGGTGGCCGAACCCGCTGTGCTAGCGCACCTGTTGGGCTGTGGAAAGAAGCACAGTCTCCAGTTCAGTCTGAGCTACAGAGTGAATTAAAAAAAATAAAGTCTGAGCCGTAGATAAGTACATATCACAAAGACAACAAACCCCAAACTACCAATCAAAAACACAAAACCAGCCCAGAAGTTTCATCTATGAGATGGATATTGGTGATATAAAATTCCTGTGACTCAGTGATTCTCAGTGACTGATTTGGAAGCTCAGAGGAGACCTCCTCTCTCTCGGGTCTGGAAGAGAGAACTACTGCAATAGATTGCTGGTATTCATGAACCAGAATATAAGAAATGGAAATGTAAGCTAAACATTTCTTTTAAGAAAGTACAATTTAAAATAGGCCGCAGTCATGACTATCACCCCCCACTGTGTTGAGTGGAGGTCCGAGGGTTAGTGATACAGGCGTCTTCAGTGGCCAAAATGTGCACTGAGAGTATGTCCCACTGTGCGATTTGTATGGGAGGAATATTTTAAACCCTCCATTTTAAAAATAGTGAAACACTTTAAAGGGAGCTTATTAAAGTTACTTTAAAAATGTCAAATAGGAAAGATAACCTCCCCTCTAGGATTGAGAATGGCTGAATTTTTCGGAATTTTTAAAAGACTATCTAGCCATGGCTGTGCTGGTTAGAACTTTCTATACAGGCCACCCTGGGCTTATAGAGATCTACCTGCCTCTGTCTCCCAAATGCTGGAAAATTAAAGGTGTGCATCACTACACCAGGCTTAATTTTTTTAAAAAAAAAAGTTCCATAAAATTTCTGTATTTAGTTTATTTCTTAGTTATGGGTGTTATCACTAATACTGTGTCATTAGTGATACTTAAAAATTGCTTTGTACACCACAATCAAAATAAATTGAGACTAACTTTGATTTCAGGTGATCTAGGAACACACATTTAAACTACCTTTAAATATGAATTAAAATAGTTTGAAGCATTACAAAGCCATGCCGAAAAAACACTGCATAAGTATTCTGGGTGATGACATTTTAGAAGAGTACAAACACACATAAGATGAAAATGACTCGCACTCCACAAACGCTAAGATTTATGTAGCGTATAATAGTTTCAGTTTCCCTTTGGCTTATTAAAGGCAGGTGAGCAGAGCTGAGCCTGGGCGTTTGGTTTACAGGAAGGAGTGGTTCACAGAGTTGTGATACAGCAGAAGTATGACTTGATCACTTTCCAATTGACATCGAAGTTCTTAACTGACAAGGTGTAAATGGCTCCTGTTCCACCAAAGTGGAGTCGTGCTATAACATATGGAAAATATGTGCTGTGAAAACAGACCTCAAGGCCAGAAGTTAATAGCTTAAAAATAATTCAGCACTTGAGTTGTCTGGCAAATACCTGCTTAGAGAATTAAAATGGATCCTTTGTCTTTAACAGAAATCATTTAATTTAGTTCATGAGCCATTATATGGTGTGGATCATCAAAGTTTCTTTTTCCATACAAAGAAGTATGCAAATTTTTAGATTTTTTTCATTCCCATAAACTATACAGAGAAATTATTAACTGGATACTGGTTGGAAAGCTCCTCAAGATAGCATGTATATTGATCCTGGCTCACATGAGAGTATGGTATCCTGAGCTACTTGTTGTTGACAGTGATGCATTTTCATAGAAACTTTAAGTGTATGTGCATGCTGACTATGTGGTCAACCAAAGTCACTATATTTCTTTAAGTGTGGTTTAACTCTCTCCAAGTAGAATGGAGTCACATTCTTATCATGTTTGTGGTTCAGTGTTGTACTACTCACATAACTTACATTTTTATGAGCCGATTTGCTGCCCACAGGGTGAGTTGAACTCATAGCTAGATCTGGGGCATCCCCAGACCCATCTAGATACATTATGCTGCAGTGACACTTGCTCATCTCTGCTACCTACACATCTGAAAGCTCAGAATCCAGTCTGCCTCCATCTTTCCCTAGCTCATGACTATCCTTTCTTCCTGAAAAGACAATAGTCCTCTCTTTGATATCATTAGAGAGCATTCCTGGATGTGGGGTTGGTACACGGGGTGACAGCTGTGATTGGCATGCAGTAAATAGGGTAAGGAAGGATACTAGTTACTCTCCCTGAGACTCAAGAGCTAAGCTCCATGCCTACCTTATTCTGAAAGATAACTGTAAAACTTGTAATTGTAAAAAGCGTCTTTCTGGGAAGAGGTAATAAAAATGCTACCTTGTTATTTAGAAAGTCTTCACATTAATGATAAGCCAATACATTTTTGGAGTAACGCTTGTCAGAAATTTCTACCCAGTTCTTGAAGTTATAAGGACGTTTCTGGTTTCTAAATTTATATTGGTCTTTGTAATCCTGGAACAGTTAGAGACTCAAAGATGAGGAAAGACATTTATTTTAAGCAAGTTTTCTAAAGTCAAAGTTAATACATTTCTATTGACTTAACCTCGAAATAATCTTTTAAATGGTATCTGACATGCTTTAGATTATTAGCCCATTAATTTTTATCTCTACCTTGTTATGTCTTATTTTCAAATAGTTTATAAGGAAATAAAATGACTCCAAAATGAAATAGTGCTGCGGATGCAGCCCAGTGGGAAAGCACTTGACTTTCATACAAAAGATCTGGACTTAATTGTGGGCACTCCTATTAACAACAACAACAACAACAGATCATAAAAACCAACCAATCTATAATGAGATCAACCAATCTGTAATGAGATCAACCATCTATAATGAGATCTGATGCCCTTTTGTCTAATTCTCTCTTCTATCACAGTACTCATATACATAAATAAACATATCTTTTAAAAAAGAAAAACATGCAAACCAGTTTTCTCACTAGTGAAGACAGTGACCACAGATAAAAAGCATAGAAAAACTTGGATGTTAGAACTGAGTTGCAGGTACCATGTAATCTCATGTCTTTCGATAACAGGTGTAGGCTTCACTTAAGCTAAGGTGTCTGTACCACATTTATATGCTAAGGTGTCTGTGCCACATATTATATCGGTTTACTC